AAACGAGTCGTGTGATTCGCTCACCGACGCGTGATCGTCGCAACCGAGCTCTTCAGAAACTCAGGGATGGAAGCTGTCGATAATTTCGTTAGAGTTTGAGTTTGAAATATTACGGTATGAAGTTTAGTGAGAATTGAGCCTAATGAGTGGGAGGAGGATAGATTGACACACCAATTGAATTGGTCTTGATTGGAAGGAATGAATTTTATTTACAGTTGATTTTGCACCACTGTGGTTAAATGGGTGCATAAGTATAGTGGCTAACTTTTAAAAACTTAGTTTACTACAACGTAGAAGTTAGTGATTTTTAATTTAAAGTACCTAGCAGAAACAGGTTCATTGAAGAACTGCTGCTGTAAATTTGGAGTCCAGTAAATTGACAATATGTAACATTTATCTATTATGTTGAGTTCCATAAGTATTCCTCAAAGTTGCCAAAGTTCCTAGAAATATGAACCTGTGTCGCCACTTTATTATATTGCGGCCACAATTGATAAAAAATATGAAACATCGATATCGATACTCGGACACGCGCCACCCTAAAATGTATGAAATGTAATTTTCTGATGCGAGCAACTCGCGAACATTTGTAGCTTTCCTGAGTATTCCGGGAAATTGCGATCCGCGGCCGCCCGCCCTCCACCGCCCAGGGAATGTTAGATCTCGTTTAAATTGCTGCGAGTCGTTTTTATAATATAATGCTCGCTTCGCCTCTGCGTGAGATTTACACGCTATTGTGCACTTTAAGAGATGGTGTGGCGAATTGCACGAGTGCTGTTGTGTTGCCTAGGTAGGAACTCTTTCGAATGCCTAGGTATAAGTAGGTACCTAGTATTTTTTTGTGAAGTTGTCAACGGCTTCAGAACAGGGAAGGCGAAGATATACGTAGATGCCAAATCGATGAAATCCAAATGTAAATATATAAAATAACATAGCTTATCTTCTCTATTTATTTATTTATTTTATTATTATCAATGTCGATTGCTAAGGTAAAAACGGATTGAGCTATCTACTGGCTAATTGCGAATTAATTATTAATGATTTTAATCATCCATTTAATCACTGTCCGAAAATAGTGAAATCTTTGAATCTTTCGCAAGGAAGATAAATAAATAAATGGTCAACAATATTATAAATAATACCACATTTATCCCAGATTTCATAGATATCTCATACTGACAACGCATTAGTATATTTAATTCCCTATACGGAACAGAAAAAGAAGAAGAACTCGTTATACGATAGGATCGCATCGATAGATCTCCTGAACTAAAAATAGGTTTTCCAGTTGTTCTACCAATAGAACATTTTACGTAAATTTCGTCAAAGTTACTGTCCTATGCATAACCCGCCAGGGGTTAGGAGAATAAAGTTGTTATTAGGAACAAGTCATATGAAAGCATCACCGTTGAACAACGGGCGCCTGAACATATTTCACGGTAGGGTTGGCACCCCGGATTGTAACAAGTGTCCACAATTCGCATCCTTGACCGGCTTTCATCGATGACTGATGGCGAACATGTGCCGCCGGCAGTCGTCTACTCATCGCCCCGCTGGTGTAGGGCTGGCTACCGCCAATACAAGCATTCACTAGTAGTTTAACAAAAAAAAAAATCGGACTTAATGTCATTTTAAAGAAAAAAAAACATTAAAAATCTAGCAGTAAGTTTAAAAATAGAAGGATATATTAAAGGTGGAAACATCTTCATTGTAAGATTCTTTAATTAGAAAAAAAATCTATTATCATATTTAGCTTGTATGTTTCGAATTTTTTTCGTGATAAACAACCATTTACTATTGTTATTGAATTATATGGGTATTTAAATTAGATGTGATGTTAAAGTACAGCCATTTGAAACTTCGAAATAATAATATGTAATATGCATTTATGTGTATTTAATTTTGCTTCGTTGCTCCGCCACTAATTTATTATTGTTGTTCTTGTATTAATATTGCCCACAAACTACCGTAAGTGACAATTATTGCCGTCGATTACCAAAAACATAATAGTAGCAGTAGCATTCACAATAATTTAAATAAAGATTTATTTGAACAAGTATGATATATACTGATATTATAAAGGCGAAAGTTTGTGAGTGAATCTAAACGGCTGGAGCGATTTTAATAAAATTTGGTATGGAGTTAGCTGACACCCTGGATTAACACATAGGCTACGTTTTACTGCGGGAAAATATCCCTAATAAACCGCGGGTAACACCGCGGGGCACAGCTAGTTACAAATAATTGTTAAAACATGAGCTACTACATACGTTATTAGAATCTTTACACGCAGCTTCTCGCCAACCCTAACTTAAGACGAGGGTTGCCTCTAAGATAATTATCTTTTTTACTCATACCCGACTCGGTTTTAATATCGTGATAAATGCTGCGGAAGGCTTGCCGTTGACGCGCAATGTTGCGTACACACTCCGAAACCATTATATCACCCTCCTTTTCACTAGTGGTAAGCAAGAAAGAGATGCGGATACCTATGATTGCTGCTGTAGAAGTCTTCCACGAGAGATCAAGAGGGTACTTTACATTGGATTTGATTAATACCTTGCTTGTTATTTCTCTTTTATTGGGTGGCAGATGCTTTTTATATATTTTTTCTCTCCTTCTTGACTCGAAGATGATGAAGTGGGGATCGTGTTTTAATTTTACGCCGATTAGACACCGTCGTAACTTGACTACTTGATAGCTACATTATTATCTCAGTCATAAATAATATATATTGATTGAGCAATAGCAAAAAAAACTTAATTAAAATTAATCATGTTTAACAGATCATTCTATTTTTGTCAATTGTTGTGTCAAGAGATTGTACGAAGCTTGCTTCTAAATCGATGTAGGCCTATGAATTTACTAATATTATAAATTGAGTCGTATTCACACAACACAGTACCTAGGCAACTTTTCTGTTTTTCTTATACCGAGTCAACTATCGTATTTTTAAATAAAACACCAAAGCGAATCGATGTAACATCCCCACAGCACATTAAGTAGTGCTGTTTACCAAAGCAATAGATCAAGTTGAAGAACCCTAATTTAAAGCGGAAGCAAACACGGAACCCTCTATCAGGAAAGCACACATCTTCATAAAGAGGCCGATTATTGTTGGTGTTATGACTCAATCGAACGAATGCCGCAGTCTACTGTCTGTTACCAAATTATAGGTTTTCCAACCCTGTGTTTGAAGAATTTTATTGTAATAGGTAGGAACTTCATCAATACTTTTGGTTAAATTTCAAAATGTACATTTTGTTTGTGCAGATATTCAAAAGATAAAGTTAATTGGAAATAAAATATTTTTATAAATAAACATTAATTGAAGATGCTTTCTGTTTACGCTAATCCTAATTTAACAAAAAAAGCTTAAATTATCAAAAGCTCTTCCTCTACTCTTTGTCAATGAAAGTCAACTAGAGATTGAACTTTAGTGGAAGTCGGCCCTAACTTTGAAAGAATCAAAATTAATGTATTTTTAAATTTAATATCAAAGATTATTTTTACTGGGTATAATTCCACTCTTTCCCGGTTTCAGACAGGATGAAAGAATTTTTTCTGACGGGATCCTATTTTAAACCTGGACAGAGCGGAATTATTCCTAGTATTTTTTTCTTAAGACTTGTAAAAAATCTAGCAGTTCCATTTTTAAAAAATATAACAACCTAATATTAAGTAAATATGTACCTATGTTTACCACACCTTGTAAAAAGCTTCTTGGAAAAGAAACACACACAGATAAAAAATATTATTAGCAGCTAAGAATTGGAGTTAGTGACTTTTAGTTAGCAAAACCAAATTTCCATTTTAGAAAGAATATAGCAAAATGTTTATAAGATGGAACCATTACAATAACCGTAAAACACAACGCAAGTCGCAATTTTTATACTCTACAAAAACTGTGCTGTACAGTGAGTTCCCTTTGATAAAAGGGCTATTATTAATTTTGAAGTTTACAATGAAAATTAAATTATCGGAGGGTCAAATGATAAATGGGCGAGAGCGACAAGCCGGTGCATCTTGACAGGGACTAATAACGCCATCTATCGCGCGGCCGCGATGTCTGCCGTAATGTCCAGTGCCAACAGCTGCCGCTAGGTAGCGCTCGCCGTCGATTTGTTACCGTGGCTTGTTCATAAAGTTTTAATAAACTATCTATAATAAATTGTAAGTTCTAGTGTTTGATCCATAAAATGATGAAGAATATAGAATGATAGATTATATTTAAATGAAGAGAAGACTTAGAATCTTCCTGAACTGTATAAAAATAAACTGTTTAATAATATATTGGTACACCAATTTCGCATTAACGGTTACTTTATTATGCCTTAATATTTTTAGGGCATGAAAAGTTATTGTTTTTAAATTTAAGGAATTAGTATAACATTTTTTTAATTCTATTTTCGCATTTTGGGTCCAGTGACTACTTTGTGCTCGTGTTGAGTTACTTTTCGCTTGGTATTGTTTCTTGAAGTTCTCACTTACTATGTTAGATGGCGCTTACAAGTAAAACGTGTAGGTATTGACTGGTTTTCAATTACTCGTAAGTGAGATTGTGGAAATATGATAAACAATTGCTGAAATAAAATAAATTAACAATGTTATTTATTCTTTGGTTTTTATTAAAATGTTAGCTATAAGACAATTCCTATAAAATTCTACATAAGTATTTATATCGTCTTTGCCATAACAAAAACAACTACATTTAAGTAATTAAATTTGGAATGAGTACTTACCTAAACTCGGAATTTTGTATAAAAAACAATGATGCCATAGCCACACTAGAGATCACTCGCTCCGTTGCCTACTCTGACTACCCCCTTCCCCGTGGAGTCCCGAACTTCATTCATCGTCAGGACCACAACCACCACTTAAAGTTAGTGTCAAAGCCCTATGATCTTCTGTAAAGTGTATGTTGCTTCCAAATACTTATGTCTTGATGAGTTTCCAATGGTATTGATTATCTTTATGATTTAAATAAGATTTATTTGCAGGTGTTAGGTAAGAATGGCATCCGCGGCTGGCTAGACGGCAGCGGCGAGAAGTCAAACTGGCTGAAGTTGGTTCGATCTACCAGCTACCCCCACGATGTCAACATGCAGCATTTGTTGCATGCGGGCCAAGTAAGAAATTCCAATATATTCGGGTCCCAAAATGTAGTTTCTCTCATGATTCTTCCACACTCCACACCTCCGCGACGGGCGGCGCTTTGGTAGTAAATGCTCTACCAAGCTAAAATTTGCGTTCGAATTTTGAATTTAGTTTTGCCATAATGAATTTTTGGGTTGCGGGTTCTACAGACGCTAGGCGATAGTTTGACTGGTGATAATTGACACCTACTGACACGCATGTGTTCAAAAACGAGTTTTTAGTTACTTTTTTTGCTTGCGGAATATCTCCTCCTATTCTCTTTGAATCCCTACTACATTTCCAAAAAACTCGTCTAAATAGTTATTTCTATATATTTTTCGTAATTTCTCCTATATGCTATTTGTAAAACATGAGAGCTTTCATGTAAATTACTTACGTAGAGAAAATAAGCAAGAAATTGTTATTGCTAATATTTTTCTGATTGATAGTTTATGACCTAGCTTAAGAAATAGGATACCTTTTATCGCGAAACAAAAACTGTAGTTTTTAGATTCCGTAAAATGTAACACGGCCGAAGTCGTGGGCAGTCATTAGTAACTTGTTAAATTATGCTGATTCAACATCAAATCAAATTTACGATTCAGCGATTTAAATGTAATACTACCAAAATTCTCATAAGTACTTATATATCCGTAAGTACTTATAAATCTTATAAATATAATATAAAATAAATATAAAATATAAGTACTTATAAATCCAATTAGTTCATAATAATTGCGTATTTAGGAGTAAGTCACATCGAAATCACAAATAACGTTCAAATCATTGTCGCAACCCTCATTACATGTATGTACGGCTTACCCCAATAAAATTTGAATGTGGATCGTTGGCGCTTCCGGTGGCAGAAAATCGGAGCTCGGTTGAACAACTGTGTCCCACTTCCGGTCACGAGGGGAGTGAACAGATGCGGTGATTAGATTCACTCTGAACCCTAACTGAGCTTGATATGTGCGATTGTCTACGAAACTATATTACGCAGAATAGGTAACTGCGAAAAACTGCGTATAATTGTTTAATAGATGTCACTTTCTTTTCAATTCAATTTTGTAGTTTAAACTATTATATTTAATAAATTTTTCTGTACTCTCAATACTTTGGATCGGAATACTTAATTTTTATTCGCATAACTGAATTATTATTATTTCGAAAGTAATAATGAGCAAACCAAATTTTAGAAGGCAATTGACTGGAAAGTTGTTGAAAAAAAAAGTAGTAGGTATTCAGTAGATAAATTTATGCTTATACGAACAAAATTTTAAGCGTTGTTTCACTAACGAAACTACAATTAATACTAAATTATCTATAAAAACAAATATGTATGCAATACACAAAGATTGTAAATATAAATATTTAAAAAAAAATATAGCGCAATATCTAACAATACACATTTTTGTATCGAACAGCGTTTCAATTAATATGAAAGCTCTGATATTAATTTGAATGTTTAAAATATTATAAGTGATTCTAGTAGATAGTGGTTTTTCGAAGTGAAACTTCTTTAGGCACGCTTGACTTGGGGGGTAAGATGGCGAAAACTGTGTTTGGGCGTAACGAACGGGAGTTGAGTGGGGGATATAAGCAAAAGAAAGTAGTACGCGTGCACTTTAATCCTTCTATCTTATAGCTAGTAAGTGCAATATATATATATATGTACATACATACATATTCTACACACACCTAAAGAAGTTTCACTTACCCGTTTTTTTTTTAATTTTCAACATTGTTATGATTTCAGGTTTGGTACAAGGTCATACATGAAATACATTCTGGCCAAGAATTGCTGCTTGGACCAAGAACACCACTGCCTTTGCAAGACGTATTACCTCCAAGTGCAGGTAATATTTCAACTTGTTGCAAACGAACATAGATTTTTATGTATTTTCAGCAATGAAAAGCTAGAAACCTGTCACTAATATTACCTCCTAACGTATGATTAAAGGTTTTAAACACGAGGTATCAGTTTGTAATATTGATAATCCTAACGTATTATTAAAGGTTTTAAACACGAGGTATCAGTTTGTAATAATGATAATCCTAACGTATTATTAAAGGTTTTAAACACAAGGTATCAGTTTGTAATATTGATAATCCTATCGTATGATTTAAGGTTTTAAACACGAGGTATCAGTTTGATGATGATTCTCTACATTTAAGTTGTCTGGTAGTATAAGCGACAGATTTCCAGCTTTTCGTTGCTGTAATAACATTTCAATCAGTCGATAAACTTGTAGTCACTACTCAGTTTTTATTCTAGCAATTAGCATATTTTGAGTATCTTATTAGCCTTACTTGTATATGAAAAGCCGTATATTATTTCATACTAGAAATTATAAATGCGTAAGTGTGTCTTCGATTCGATTTAAATGACGTTTGGTAAAATATAGTTTGAGTAAACGACAAAGGATAGTTTTTATTTTATATTTTTATATTCATGATCTGACGGTGTGAAAATTTGTATCGGAAACTAATTTCACCACGTAAACGAAGACGCGAGCACTCACTTATGAAGTAAATATCTTTTACGGTATTATTTTCATTACAGCAACTCAGCCTTAGTCTACTGTAAAAAATAACATTTGATCCGTTATTTCTTCATTAGCGAAATCTTTAATTCTATTTATATCGTTTGAATGTCGTAAATATTCTGAAACAATCGCCATGCGTTCGACATCGGTTGAATCACGGTCACGCGTTGTTCACGCTCCGTTTGTCCCGAGTGAAGTTAATTGGAGTCACCTGCCCTGCCCCCTGGCCCTTTGCCTGTCGTGTGACCCTTGGACTTTAGGTGTTACGTATTTTAGTTACAGGCAGCTCTGATTTTTTTATTTCAAGTAAACTCGTGTCAATATTGTTACTTTTTGATATAAACATTATCATCCATATATTATAACATTTGCATTGTCACTTACAATATATTTAACTATTTAGGTAGTAACTAGTTTATTGCATTATAATAGTTGTGGAAAGAAGTATAGGAAAATAAATTTTCGGTTACTAAAGTCATCAACAACAACACATTCAACAGGTAAAAATATATATGTCTATCGATACTTGAAAAAAGTTAAAGCTTATATCAAACTCAAAGTTCGTAAACGATATTACTGTAAATAAAAGTACTTAGCTTATCTTACAACGTCAGCATAAGTTTCCCATATTAAAATGCATCATTTAACCCTTGAACGTCACACGCTGTACATGGCCCGTGGTGCCGTGGCGCAGGCGGCACGCGCATGCGATGCTTAATTTAGATAAATCGCAACGTACGCGCCCGTTGCGCCTGATGTGAAAAATCACGCATATGCTTTTGTTATCATAAGAGTTCACAGGTCGGGTAAATATTACTAGAAGTGATTTTTTCCCAAATATTACATTTTCGTAGTAATGTTTTTTCATTACGTACAGTATACTTTGAGTAATATTGAGGTGTTAAAGATTTTTTAAGTTGTTTTTTGGTAATGACAAAGGCAAACAATTTTATGTTACCTTAGGGTAAGTGGCCTAATAGATGCTATATATTATATCAATCGGGTTTTCTACACCATCCCATACCATGAGGAGCAAATAACATGATAAAATAGTGTTATTTAGTTTTTCCTATGGAATGAAAAGTTATTTCGTCAGGAGGGCACTCCAATTCAAGCGAGTATATCACTATGCTTAACATTATTTAGAATAAGGATGTTATTTCAAACATGTTTTTTATATTCAATCAGGATGCATTGAGTTAACGCAAATTTTTAAAGCGCAGTTTTCATTTACTACATTAATGTTTTCCAAAAGTACAAAGATTATAACTGTTCTTTGAATTAAAATTTTTTTTTTTAAATTTTAATTTTAAACCAAAAGCAAACAAACTCTTACTATAAGTTGCACGATAGAGCAGGTTAAGTTAAATTTTACTAAGCAACGTTTAAGCTCCTAATAATTTCTAAACAATAGTATAAAAGACAGGTGAACTACTGTTTGTATTGTAGCATTTCCAGTTACTTTAGAAGTCGGGGATTTCAGCGCTTCCTGTGGCACCTTCCGGTGTGTCGGCGACACAGGCGGCGCTGTCGATGATTTATGGGTTTTGAATTGTTCTTAATTACTATATGTCTAATGTTGTTATGTGTAACAGATAATAACGGATTTATATTGACTAGTCTGACCTATACAAAAATGCGAATTATCTCCATATGATTGAATTTTAGGTTATTTTTTCATTTTAATACTATTCGTATTTATTAAGTATAATTAGAAAACAACTAGAAAAGAGGAGTAGTGAATAAGCATGATATAGCTTTGAAAATTCCTATGAATTTTAGGTAATATTCACAATGTAAATAATGATATTACGAAACAATGTTGTATCCATGACGCGTCCGTTTACCACAAAATTCCGAACACCCACATAGTCCAAACAGCAGCTGGCTGACACATCGATTCTTACACAATGACTCTTAATATTCGTAATTAGAATCGATTTGCAGCCACTCTTCACAAACACATTTGTCATGAACTTGCGCAAGGAATGATCGATGGGCTTTTGGACATATAGCGCACCATTGAATAATTTACGATAAGAACTTTTTTTGCGAAAGGATTACTTAATCCGGAGACATGTATGAGTTTTGAAGGCAACACGCCGTGATTGATTGTCACCATCACAACATGCGTCCCTCATTTTCAATATAATTTTGCTTTCAGATTTCGGCTGATTATATCTAAACAGATATATTATATATATATTTAATGTCATTCCGAAGGTTAATTATAGAATTGCCTTTTGTTTATATTGACACTATTTCAAACTTTTAACTCAGTGAAAAGTTTTAAAACAATTAGTGAGACTGAAAAATATAGCAAAATTTTAACATATCATCACTTTGATAAAAATAATGCAGAAAATAAGAATCATCTACATCCATTGAAGAATAGTTGTCATGTCTTCTTTAGTTAAGCTTTTATACCCAATCATACGCATGCGCGTATTAAAATAATATACACAAATATAATCAGCCTGCTACTATAATAATAAGTTAACCCTTTATTAGCTGTACCATTTTTGTGTGCGTGCGCTCGCGTAATGAATGAGTGTCGCGTTGACATTTGTCATCGCGCAATTGTCGCGGAGATTAAAATTGATGACGTTGCTTTGTCCAGCGCGAGCGCACGCGCTTTATGTATTGTGTTGTTATCAAAGTAAGATTAAATTTTAGATTCTAATAATACCTTATGCTTGTTTGATTTCTTTTTGCGTTCATACTTTTAATTTCATATTGTTAGATTTAATTCGTGTCTGCTTTATAAAAAAAGCATGTTAAAAATGATGCTCTAATGTTTTACAATTCAAGAATATAAGGAGTGCACAGATTTCAAGTTTTGAATTTGATTAACAATTACTAATGTTCGACACTAGCCATGAAGTTATATTTATAATTAAAATAAAAGTGTGACATTTCGTGATTATCACAAATAATAGTAAAAGCAGCTATAGACCTAATGATGTTTCGCAGAATGGGCTCACACACAGAATATGCAATTGTGCAAACAAACCTTTTCCTCGAAATTGAAACGTCACAGAATCGCGATTCCCCACAAAACAGGAATGATTAATCAAAAAATTAACCGTCGACAAAGGCACGACCCCCATTAAAACCGTTCACAATCGCTCGGCGTCCCACATCGCCTATTTATTTAACAATCAAATAAATATTACGGACAATAAAATAGAAATATTTCAATTTAATATCACCGCCCCCAGTGAAGGGTTAAGTTTGCATTGTCTCGCGTTTTTGTTCGCAGATTAAATCGTGCGTATCTTGATGTTACGCAAAATTTGATAATTTCTGTACCACAATACATTGTAGAGAAGAACAGTTAAAAAAAATGGATTTACTTTTAAACCATTTTATTCATTCCGGAAAATTGACTTTGTTAATCTTGTAACCGTTGATCATCGAAACATTTTTGATTATATTTTGATTTAGAGCAAAGATTCTTTTCATTATTTAAACGTTATCTTTTAATCGTTTTTATAAAGTACACCTTACACCGTCCACTACACCGTACAAAAAAAATAGTTATCATAGATAAAAAGAGACACTTCCTAGTTTGTGGTTTGATTTTTATTGTTGAGGTGAAAAATGGGCCATTTTTACTCTGTAGTAGTAAGTCGTCTACCATTTCTTTCTGATGCTGAGATCCCTGAATTTTCTTGGTCAAGATTCTCGTTCTTTTGGGGTATCGAAAGGATGTAATTCATTTTTAGTTATATTATGCTCAGATAAATTTAATAAAATAGTAAATTCAAACAATAATTGTTAAACAAGTTTTGCGTTACAGAAGAATGTATTGTATAATATGTAAAATTTTAGAGATAAATAATATTAAACTATTAAAATCAAGGCCTTAGTCATCATAATATGAAAAGAGGTCTGTTTTATTGTTTGTTTCTATATTATCATGGCTATTATTACAGTTAAACTAATTAAAAATTTGTCACAAATATTTTTTATTTCAAATATCCAAGTATAAATTTATACGTATTTATACTTGTTATTTGATTAAGTTTACCCACTTTTTTGGGGAATGTGGCCTAACCCGGTATCTTACGCATGCGCACCGAGACAAAAATGACACTTCGCGAGTCTTAAGATACAAGATTTGCGTATCACGCACACAAGTATGTAAAACCCTGGTCTGATTTTATCGCAGTGTTTACTAGGTGACGCTCTGTCTAGAGAGCAAATATTCAAAGAGTACAAAATAAAATCGCTTTCTGCTTTTGTTTAACTCGTTGGGAGTCCAATTTTTTCTAAATCACGCAACGGATATTGATTTGGTTTTCACT